AGATGGGGGTAGCCTGTTTACAGAGTAAGGCAGGGAAAAAGAAGCTGCTTGCTGCCATTCCTCCAGTTTTGCTCTGGCTGTTTGCTGTTCGGCTGCCATTCCCCCCTTTGCTCTTGTTGCTTTGCTGTCTTCTGCCTCGGAGCCAAGCAAGTATGGACTGAAACCTCCACAAACTGTAAGCTAAATAAACCTTTCCTTCCTTCATTTTGGACGTTGGGTATTTTGTCTCAACAATGACAAAAAAGTAACCAAGACAGCTTACATCTTCGCTGACCCCCTCCGCAGTCTCCCTCCCCTGTTGCAGTGGCTGTGAGGGGCAGTTTTGCCAGTTCTGATCCGTCCCTGTCTGCTGTTTTGCTGGTAGTAATGTAATTGGGTCAAAAGGAGGAGGATTGTGGGGTGAAGTCAAACTGAGAACACCGCAGTAACAGTGTAAGGACAAGCTGAAATTCACTGTTAGACCCGGTCCCAGTAACAGTGTTTGTAAAATTACCTGAGGATGGTACAAGGGAGCTGGTGGGTCCACTACTCGCTTAGATGGTAAGGTTGGGAGGGCTTCACTGCTCGCTGCCCCTAACTCTTGGAAAGGGATAGCATCAAAGGGAGATCAGCTGCCGCACAACAAGAGGATGCGTCTTCTCTGAGTCAGGCTTACAGATTACCTAGAAGTAAGTTAGACAATAGATTGATACCAAAGATTTCAAAGGTGCCACTCATTTGCTTCTAGGTTAAAAAAAAAAAAAAACCTCCACACTCTTGTAGAATGACAGTAGATCTTCCTGATTAGTTTCATCTCAGTAGATGTCTAATTGAATATCCTCTTGGGGATGGAAAAGACCAAAAAATAACTTGTAAAAAATTAGCGGGCAGTCCTGTAATTCCAGCACTCAGGCTTAGACATAAGAATCGCAAGTTCCAGCCCAGCCTGGGCAGCTTAACCCCGTAGCAATACCCTGTCTCAAAATAAAAATAAGTCAGAAGACTGTAAATGTAGCAGAGTGAGAAGGCCGTGAGTTCAGTCCCCTGTGCCCGGGCCGGGGAGGGAGCACTGACAGGCTTCCAAGTTCAAGCGAAGGGGTGTTGAAGAATTATTGATTGC